ATTACAGTTATAGAGTAGCAACGAAAATAATTTTATGGTTGGGGGTCACCACAACATGAGGAACTGTATTAAGGGGTTGTGGCATTAGGAAAGTTGAGAACTGCTGCTCTATAGTATCATGCATGTTATCTGCAAATAGTGACAGTTTTACTTCTTCCTTTCTAATTTGGAGGCCTTTTATTTCTTTTTCTTGTCTGATTGCTGTGGCTAGGACTTCCAATACTATGTTGAATAAAAATGGTGAAAGTGTACATCCTTGTCTTGTGCCTGATCTTAAAGAAAAAGCTTTTAGCTTTTTTCTGTTGTGTATGATGTTAGCTGTGGGTTTGCCATATATGGCCTTTATTATGTTGAGGTATGTCCTCTCTGTTCCCACTTTGCTGACAGTTTTTATTTTAAATGGATGTTGGATTCTGTCAAATGCTTTTTCTGCATCTACTGATATAGTCATATCATTTTAATCTTTCATTTTGTTTATGTGGTGTACCATGTTCATTGATTTACAGATATTGAACCAATCTTGCATCCTGGGAATAAACCCCCCCCCCCCTTGATCATGGTGTATGATCTTTTTAATGTATTGTTGAATTTGGTTTGCTAATATTTTGTTGAGGATTTTTGCATCTTTGTTCATCAGGGATATTGGCCTATACTTTTCTTTTTTTGTAGTGTCTTTGTCTGATTTTGGTATCAGTGTAATGCTGGCCTCGTAAAATGAGTTTGGGAGCCTTCCCTCTTCTTCAATTTTTTGGAATAGTTTGCAAAAGATAGGTATTAATTCTTCTTTGAATGTGTGGTTAAAATTCACCTGTGAAGACATATGGTCCAGGATGTTGGGAGCTTTTTGATTACTGATTTGTTTTTTGTTTTTAAAGATTTTATTGGGGGAATTGGGAAAGGGGAATAGCCAAGTTGTCCTTCAGTCTTAGTTGTGGAGGGCACAGCTAGGTCAGCTCCAAGTCCAGTCCCCATCTGGCCACCTGTTGTCAGCTTGCAGCTGCTCAGCTCAAGGTGCCATGTTCAGTCTTAGTTGCAGGGGGTGCAGCCCACCATCCTATGCGGGAGTCGAACAGGAAACCTTGTTGCTAAGAGCTCACGTTCTAACCACTGAAATATCCAGCCGCCTGTCGGCACCTTGGAACAGCTCAGCTCAAGGTGCCGTGTTCAATCTTAGTTGCGGGTGGGCATATCCCACCATCCCATGCAGGAGTCGAACCGGCAACTTTGTTGTTAGGAGCACGTGCTCTCACCAGCTGAGCTATCCTGCCACCTGTTGGTAGCTCAGCGGCAGCTCAGCTCGGGCGCAGCTCACTGGCTCATGTGGGAATCAAACCAGCGACCCTGTTGCTCACAGCTTGTGCTTTTAACCAACACAGCCACGCGGCTGGCCCCACTGATTTGATTTTGTTAGTAGTTATCTGTCTGTTCAGATTTTCTGTTTCTTCCTGATGTAGTCTTGGAAGATTGTATATTTCTAGGAATTTATCTATTTCCTCCAGGTTGTCCAATTAGTTAGCATATAGTTATTTATAGTATTTTCTTGTAATCCTTCCAATACCAACCTACTTTGAAAAAAGATACGTGATTTAGTCACAGATTATTGTATGCATCTGTTATCTACATACTGATTTGTGTACTGAAAAGCTAGAAGTACTATATTCAGTTTCTCACAGTTAATATGCTATAATAACTAAAATTTGAGTTGTGTTATTGGTGACTGGTGTTAGTAACTAAACCATGGTAACGGAAATATGTATGTATTGGAACTACAAACCAAGGACTACCCGTATTTAGAAATTATTCTCTTTTTACTTGACCATTCCTAATCCTATCATTTTGACCGAGGTCTTGGTGTCTACTTGGCGATTAAAGCATGATTAAGGTTTGCTTTATTAACGTTTTATGTTCATTGTGTTGTATTTTTCCTCCCTCAGGTCATGTTCCCAAAACTTGGATTAGCACCGCTATGGACCTTCAGATAGATGAGTAAGTGCTGTATGAAAAGTCTTAATTTTAACTCCTAGATGTTTTCTTCCCTTTCGATGTTTGCTTCTTTCCAAATGTTTTGTTTGGTTTAGCCTTTAAGATTTTTAAAGATTGTATTCATTTTTGAATACACATAGTTCACATAGTTTAAAATTCCAGTGGTATATAAAAGGGTATATGGTGAGAAAGATTCCTTTCGCCTGTGTCTCCCGTCACCCAGTTACTCTCCCCAGAAGTAAGCAATGATAATTTATTTTTTGTTAGATAACAGCTTCTATATTATATAAAAGTGGGCTTCTTGACTTGCGTGGACACAGCCTCTTGTTTTTCTCCTCAATAATTCTATGCTGTGTTATGCTGGACAACAACAGTGCTTTAGTGTTATTCTTATTTTGCCTATGAGGAAACCAAAATTGAGCAGTCACGTGACCGGTTGAAGATCATAAGTTGCAACCAAGTGGCAGCACTGGGGTATATTATTCTAGTTATCCCCATGTACTTTGCACATAGATAAAGCTTTAATTTTTACTTGGCAGATAAATGTAAATTTCTCTATTAGTGTTGGTTTTAATTGTAAGACTGTTTTCATACATGGACTTCACTAATGTCAGTTTTTGGGAGTGGGAATATTGGCATATATGGGTGTTTCTGAGATATTATGGTTTCTACATTGTAGACTGCAATTTCTAAGTTTTAAAAGTTCCTTGGTAAAATTTAGTTTTGTCTTCTGCTTATTTGCTAGATGTGAAACCAAATGCATGGGTCATTTATTATGTTAGCCCAGATTGTAATTTAAACTGGATCAAATGGCAAGAGAAAAATAATGTATTTGATAGAAATTTAATGTAATACCTTTTCCCCCTCCTTTCACTGAAAAACTGTTTGTTTGTATGGCAGCATGACTGATATTCTGTCTTTCATTTATGCCAGGTCCTCAGTAAATGTTTATTTAAAAGCTGAAAATAACTTCATTTATTGCCCCATCCCCCACTCCACAAGTGAATATCAAGTACTATGCTGGGCACTCCTAATATAAGGTGTTTTAAATCTCATAACAACCCTAAGAGGTAGAATAAAGAGTTTTTGTCTCTATTACATGGATGAAGAAACTGACAGTAGGATAGGTCAAGAGATTTATATAACTGTAACCCTTATAAATGGCAGAGTCAGAGGTTTAAATCCTGCTTTTACAGTTGCTTCTTGTGTGATTGTAGGGTTATGATGACTTTACTCATTGCCCTATTTAAGGTTTTGGTAAGATAGCATTTGTTTTATTTAGTATTCTAATAGAGTTTCTTAAATTATTTTAAAAGTAATGATTGTTATTTTTAGGTAGAACTATATGCTTTTAACTACTATGAAACTGTTTATGGAGTATACAGATAGAGCTGAAATCTGGTCCAAGAGAGGTGCTAGTCATGTTGAATGATTTTTACGCTGAGCCATCCTGCCACCTGTTGGCAGCTCAGCAGCTGCTCAGCTCGGGCTGGACTCGAACCGCTGTTGCTCAGAGCTCAAACTCTTGAGCGAGCTCTTAACCAACTGAGCCACTTGGCCGGCCCTCATGTTGAATGATTTTTAAGCATCAAACTACAAAGCAACAATAATAAAGTTTTACCCAACCTCTAGGGGTTGGCTTGTAGGCTTGGCTCATTCCTCCTCCAGAGTAAATGGCAGTGAAGATTTGGAACACAAGAAACTGAGTGCCAGTTTAGATCTACTCTTTACTTTAGATTCCCTTATGCACCTTGTTACAAGAAGATACTAGGAAACGAATTTTATAAGGTACAAAATGAGAGGAGTCTATCACCATAATTATTTATAAAGAGGATTTATTTGTTTCTCAGTGTTGAGCCCCAAGTCTGTTAAATGGTTAGATTGTATTTTCTCCATAGGATTAAATAGTCATTTCTGCTTTCATAGGCAATTTCATAGACCCCTTGACACTGTGAGTGGCCTCTTGAATCTCTCATTACTCTACCATGTCTGGTTATGTGGTGTCTTTCTCCTGACAACTTGGTACATCTCATGGATACTCTTTAAAATCTATGCCACAGAGGTTAGTATTGAGTTTTTTGTTAATACCTTTTGTGTTTTGGAGTGCATAGATTTATTTTTAGTAGAGCACTGATTAGCATGCTATTACACCCAAAGCCATTTTGGTAAATTGGGTTTTGATCTCTTCTGAGACTTCATTAGGGATATATCACTTAGAACTCTCATTTACTTTGCCCCCCCCTTTTTTTTTTTAATGTTGGTATTCTTAATTGTTGGAAACTAAACTGAATGGACTGGTACTGGTACCTACTTGCTATCCTTTATTTACAACCTAATTCTCTTCAGAAGGTTTCCATCTCTCTATTGAGTACAACCTTAGATGGGCCTGAATTTTAAATTATTTTTATGTGCTCTTGATATAAATAGTATTAAAATATTTAAATATAAGGCAATAAAATATTTGTTTTTTGAATGAAACTTTAAAAATTTATATTGAAGAAATGTTTTTAAATGAATGGGAATTACATTGTCTTTATTATCCAAATGTTTGTCTTGGACAATGAGTGTTTCTGTTTTACCATCTCTGTAGGTTTGTATCCTTCAGTGGCTTCAGAGAATCTTTGTTTCTAAAATTTATTTCTATTATTGGAAGCCAGAGATGTAATAAAATTTGGAGAGTAATATTTTTTAAAGTAGTATGTTTGGGGAGATATATCTATATCTATATCTATATCTATATCTATATATATAGCTATATCTATATATATGTATACAACCTATTTTTTTTTTTAAAGATTTTTATTGGGGAATTGGGGGGATGGGAACAGTGCTGGGGAATTGGGGAAAGGGGAACAGACAAGTTGCTGTCGTTTTGTTCTTCAATCTAGTTGTGGAGGACGTTGCTTCACTGGCCCAAGTTGGCACCATCATTGCGCTCTTCTCTGGCGAGGCAGATCAGTCGCCGGCCTCTGGACGGCCGCTCACTGCGGCTGCTGGCCGCTCACGCTGGCTGCTGGCCACACACGGTAGCCCATGGCAATCCGCTGCCACAGGGACTGCAGCCCACGCCGTCGCCGGCGACTCATGGCAGCCCAGCTCCAGGTTGAGCTGTTGTTCAGCATCTTAGCTGTGGAGGGCAGTGTCACTGGCCCTCACATGTGGGATCCGAACCGGGGCCCTCTGGCATCCCAAGCGAGTTCTCAACCATCGCGCCACTCGGCCGGCCCTATACAACCTATTAATACAACCTATTTTTGCAAAGAACACTAAAGATGTTAATTTGGTTTTATTGTCTTTTTATAATAAATTTCAGTTAGTACTTACCAAAGATAATAAAGTCATGAAAATAATTCTTTTCATAGTCCTTTTATTTGATTATATTTGATAGGCTCATCTGTTTCCAGTTCAACCACCATTTGCGGAAGACTCAGATGAATGCCTCCCAAAAGTTTTAAACAGCAACCCTCCCCTCATCATAAAGGTACCAGGATTGTGCATTTTGTGTCTTTACATAGTCATCTCTAACTTATCTTAAGGAAAGATTTAATATTTAGCATATTTGGGTACTTAGATATATTTTTTGACGGCCTAGAATATTCTAGTACTGGTATTATAAAAATCATGTACATGCTACATTGAATGCTGTTTACTTTTTCAATTTTCTTTCCAAGTGACTAAAATGCAGTACATATTACAAAATGTATGTATACAAGCTAAACTAATTTCTATATGCAGAAGAGATATAAGAATATTTCCTAGCATGAAATACGATGATATCCAGCAATATGCATTGGCTTTTTAGAAACTTCTCATGGTACCAAAACAAAACACTTTTTTTTTCTTTTTTAATCACCGGATCAAGATATATTTGTACTCGTGTAGCATTGTTGGCTATTATGATCAAAGGTAGTGCTTGATAGTACGTAGACATTCAGTAAACTCTCTTAAAATATGAATAATGATAATGACCCTAAAACAAATTTTAATGAAGAGTCTAAAGAAACTGCAATAAATGTAAAAATCACACTAAGAATAAATTGTTTTGATTTAAATTTTGAGATTTTGAAGTAAATCGATAATTTATATGATCCTGTTAAGAGGTCATAGTATTTAAAAATAATGGAAATAGTTTGAACCCATAGTTTTGATTACACTCTGGAAAAGTTATAAACTGATAAGAAAATGTACCACTGAGGCCCTGATTACCTTTTTAAATGCCAATTGTGACTAATTTCATAGATAAACAAAAGTATCAGTTATTCATTTGGTTATTTCACAAATCTTTGTTTACTGGCCAGGTGTCAGTCACTGCTAGTTATTTAGGATATAATGGAGAAAGGCAGATGCACAAATAATGAAAATTTGCTTTGGTGAGTGCAGTGGGAACCACTTATTATGCTTGGGACCAATGTAAGAAAGAGTCACAGAAAGGATGGTATCTTGAATGATGAGTAAAGAGGTTTGCCAGGCAACACAATGAAGATCTTCAGTAAAAAAATACAACTGACATTGTGTCTACTGTGTGCTAGGCATTGCCTTTGAATGTGGTAGCAAGTAAGACTTTGTTCCTGTCTTACAGTTTGGTGGGTGGAACCAGATGAGACAAGTAAAAGGCAATTATAATAAACCATGTTAGTGCCACAGTTGAGAATTGTGTGAGTATATGTTAGTGTAGGGGAGGCCAGGGAAAGTTCTAGAAGGAAGGGATGTTTTAAGTTTCACACTACACAGGTGGGAAAGAACCGAGTTCTGTAGTTCCTTGTAGCTGGAGCCTATAGTGGGTGGGGTAACCTATAGATGGTGCAGGCAGGAAAGTTCTAGAAGTCTAAAAAGGAAGGTTCAAAATTATTTTCTTCATGCAAAATTTCAACAGATTTCCCCTTAGATATATAATGCTGAGCCCAATTCATAAATAAAATTTTCTGTAAAGATAAAATTAAATAATTTTTTTTCCCCTTTTAGTATTTGGCCTTGCAGGACCTGATGTTGCTTTCTCAGTATTCTCCTTCACGAAGACAAGAAGTTTTTAGCCTTAGCCAACCAGGTATTGCTAAAAGTGATAGACCTGATTAAGCATGTGTGTGCAGAAAACGTTCTTCACGTTTTTGGTGAGATAGGTTTATTTAATAAAATACCACACATGAGTGAGTCCATTAAACGAAGTCTTGATTTAAATCTTATCAAACTAAGTGTTTGTGTTGTGGTGGTTATAAGTTATGTCATCAGGAAAGGTATTTTTAATTCATTATATTATTTCCCTCAGCCCCCTGATTCCCTTAACCTGGAGAAATTTGAGGTAGGTTGACAATTATAGAGCAGGAAAGCACAGTGTAAGAATCCTAAAAGTTTTAACACCACAGGGGTCTTAAAAATCAGGTGGTATAATCTCTAGATGGGGGACCTAAGTCTCAGAGAGATTAAATGGCTAAAATAAAGTTAATGTCAGAGTTGGAATAAGACATCCTGTCATGTAACTCCCTCCCCCTGAACATGCTACTTTGTCTCCCTTAAAAAGGAAAAAGTAGATGGTGACCCAAGGATGCTCTTGGTGACTCTCAAATACTTCTCAGCTGTTACTTGGCCAAGCTCTTCAAGACTGACTGTGCCAGTGCTCTGCTTTATTCCTAGAGGGAAAGCATTCCAGCCCCAACCACCAGCGGGGAATGGAGAACCCTGAATAGCTTTTCATCTTCTCTCTAATCAACACATAATGAAGCATGATTGATTTTTACACGACAGCTCTAGGATAAACACCTTAGAAAATCAAAAGATAATGAGCAGTAAGAGAATAAGAGTGTAGTTCACAGTAGTTAAAAAAAATCAGATATGTAAACTCTTCAAGTATAACGTATGATGATTACCAAATAATATGTGACTCCTAGAGACCTGATAGCAAATAGGGACTGTTACACAGATGAAAATGTAAGGAGCACAGTGGGTTAGACACAGTTTAGAGGTCACCAGGCCATGGGGTGCATCTCATTAGGCATGTTCATGTCCATTGTCTTAGTCTTCAGTCTGCTCAGTACTCCAGTAATAATAAAGTAATCATGGGCTTTTTTACTCAAGCCATGCTCTAGTGTTTGTCTTTATTTTAGGGATTAGTTTGAGAGGTTTTTTTAATGGTAAAATAGCAACTTTTTGCTTATAGACTTTGGGAAAATTATTTCGTCCAAATATTTATTGAACTCCTGCTGTGTGTTAGATATGATGAGTATAAATAGTAGCTTAATGGAGAAAAGTGGGCCCTGATGCAAAGTGTAATGTAGCATTTCTTATTGATTTTCTCCCCACTTTGAGAGGAGACTATATGATTATCTACATTTTGAAAGCTGGTGTTTGGACCTCCTAGGTGGACATCCCCACAATTGGACAGCCATTTCAAGGGAGTGTTTGAATCTTTTAAATGATATGACTCAAAAACTGGTTCTCTACCAAGAAGCTGCTGCTACGAATGGGAGAGTAATGTCTTCATCATACCCAGTGGAACCTAAGAAATTGAATTCTCCAGGTAACTCCTTGTACTACTAAGAGAGGGAAAAGCATAATTTGCATTTTATTTCTTAAGAAAGATGACAGTAGTTAATCTAAGGATACGTGTATGAATGTGAAGTTATATTTTTAGGGAATATACAATATATGGGATATTGTAGTGAACAAAGAAAATTAGACCTGGGTATCATTGTAGATTGAAAAAATTAAGTCTGTTGTCGTGGTGGTGCTAAAATGGCTAACAAAATGTTGGTCATCAAATATTGGGTTGTCGGAAAAGTCATGACGTATTTTTTCTATGTTTTTCATTGTAAAAATGCGTCACGACTTTTCCAACAACCCAATAGAAGACTTCAGCGTACTCTAAATATAAAACCAGGTGAATCTTTACAGATAATACTAGTTGCTCTTCTTATTGCAGTATCCCAGAGACAAAAAGTTGCTGGACAGTGTCCAGAGAAGAGCAACTAAAATGAATGAGTGATTTGGGGATGGGAGTATCACGTTCATTGTCGTAAGATGGCCTAGTATAATGTTAGTACCCCTTCAGTTTGAAGGATGAAAGTTGACAGGAAGAAGTACAGGTGGAGGAACTTAATGCTATTTCACCAAATCTCTTAAGTAGAACATGTCTAGGAATGTAAGACGGATGAAGCACTTCATGCTCGGAAGCCTTTTGGAGCCAGGCATTTAATGGAAATGGGCGAAACTGGCTAGGTGAGAGCCATCTGAAGGGGGAAGCTATGGGTTAGCTTTAGTCCACTGTTCCCATGTGGGAATTTGGACCCAATATCTTCACTCACGTTCTTTTTTTTTTTTTTAGAGAAGCCTGAAATCTTTTACATTTTAAATGTTGGCAACTAATCTTGATATTTAAAAAATTCCTGTATGGGCCAAAGCAAACACATCTGTGTTTTTTACTTCATTACTCTGGAGTGACCATATACCAAAAACAGATTACAATGAAATAAGTTCATGAATGTCAGATTTTATAAGACTCTAGAATGTTTCAAATGTTACCAACTTTCAGATTAGCGTTTATTTATTGAACAAACAGTTACTGAATGCCTGCTACATACCAAGTAATGTGCTAGAATTCAGGGAGTCAAAGATGACAAAATGGTCTTGGAACTGACCGTTTCGGGGGAGGCACACAAATAATGACAAGACAATGTAACTGCTAAAAGTAATTCTGTCAAAAGGGGGCCTGAATGGATAAGAAGATGTTTGACAATGAAAGGAGGCCTTTTGTGTTATAAAAAAGGGGCTTAGATTTTATCCCATAGGGTTATGGAACCATTAGAGAATTTTGAATTGGCTAGTTACATCAAATTAGCATATTACAAAGATCATTGTAATATTGGGTTGGAAGGATCATGGATCTTCCAACCCAATGGTTTTTCATTATTTTAAATTGTTGCCATAACCTATCGTGTAGACAAAATTTGCCTCTAATTTTGAGGAATTATTACAAAACTTAAAAACCCCAGTCTTAATTTTTAAATTGATTATTCAAAGATTTCTAATTGCCATTAACTCTTACAACATCATGTAATGAAAACATGGTACTTTAAATATTTAATGTCTTATGGTGGTTTTATTAAAAGATAGAACACTAGTGTAATTTATTTGTCTTTGTGCCTTGTCCTGGAGTGGCCGGAAAAGTATTCCTTTGTTTTTATACTACAGATTCTAACTAAATTGGTAGTTATAATTTGTGAAGAAGCTGTTTACAGATGAGATTTGTAGGGTCAGGTGTGTAGATATGCTGGGCAAATTATTCTTTGGTGTAACTTCTGTTAACTTGAAAGAACTCTGGGGAGAATGAGAGAAGGTTAGCACTCTCTAGCTGTACAGTTTCACATTATGAATTTGATTACGTTTAGCCAAGTAATAGTTACAGTAGTGGCATGCAATAAAAAACTGGAAAGATTCGAATACAATAATTAAAGTTGTTGCCATATAAAAATAAAGTATAAATTGATGAGTTTATTCAAAACAGGTTAGAGTTAGAGAAACTGACCTTGAAGATGAGGATATCAGTGGAGGGGGAAAAAAACAAGAGAGGCCATACCAACCTGACAGAAAAAGATGTTTAAAGCGCTGTGAATGGTCATTGAGTTGCAGTAATAAAAGCAGGCTCTTGAGAATGTAAACCTACATGGAAACAACCCACCGAGCCTTGGGGAAATGCATTAACCAAAGATTGAGAAGTATGAAATTTGAGAACACCCCATGCTGACCTGTGTGGATCAGGTTCCCCATTCAGCGCTGGATCTGTTCTTTTGCAGAAGAAACTACTTTTCAGACCCCAAAATCTAGCCAGATGCCTCAGCCATCAGTGCCACCATTCATTAAGACATCACTGTTTTCCTCAAAATTATCTACGCCTGATGTTACAAGTCCCTTTGGAACCCCATTTGGCTCCAGTGTAATGAATCGGATGGCTGGAATTTTCGATGTAAGCACCTGCTATGGGTCACCTCACAGCCCTCAGCTCATAAGAAGAGGGACAAGATTATGGACTTCTGCTTCTGGTGAGGACCACTGATTTTTTCAAATTCAAAACGTCATAGTTGCAGAGAATCAGATAGACTAAGTTTTCACCTTCTTTTTTTACAGATCAGCAAATGACTGAATTTATTAACCTTCCATCTACTACCACTGTTAGTGCTGAGGCAGTGAGGCAGCCCAGTGTGATTTATTCATGGATCCAGAATAAACGTGAACAGGTAGGATGATATGGTTACAGGATTTATATTTGCATGTAATATTGAGAGCATCTCAGGAATAAAAAAGGACTTTGTTTTGATGCTTCATGTATTGAGTTGACCCGATTAAAATTGCCAGTGGTTGACTGGTTTTCAGCTGAGCTTGGTTTGTGTGAGGAGCATGGGTTACTAGTGTGGCTGGAGCCGAGTGAATGAGGGGAAAGTGGTAGTTGGGTGATGAGGTCAGAGGGGTGAGCAGGCACCTCCAGAGCTCATCGGGCCCATTCGTGTTGTAAAGACTGACATTTTCTCTGTGTTGAGATGGAAAGCCACTGTATGGTTTTGCCCACAAGAATGACATGATGTAACTTTATATTTTGAAAGTGCTGCTTGCTCTATTTGCTGTGTTGAGACTACATTCTCAAAGAGCCGGAATAGAAGCAGAGTGACAGTAGTAAAGCTGTTGAAGTAATCTAGTGTGAGATGGGGGCACTGTGACCAGAGTGGCTGTGGAGGCTGTTAGATGTGATCAAGGTCTGGACGTATTTTGAAGGCAGATGTAATAGGATTTGCTAATGGTTTGGTTGTGGTGTGAAAAAGAGAGTCAGTGATGAATCTAAAGTTTTTGGGGGCCGGCCGAGTGGCGCGATGGTTAAGAGCTGGCCTGGGACACCAAAGCGCCCTGGTTCGGATCCCACATATGAGGGCCAGTGACACTGCCCTCTACAGCTAAGATGCTCAACAACAGCTCGACCTGGAGCTGGGCTGCTGTGAGTTGCTGGCGACGGCGTAGGCTGCAGCCCCTGTGGCAGTGGGTT